CGGGGAGGCGCAGCCCCGCCGTGGGACCGGGGAGGGCTGGGGCCTCCGTGATGGCCGGGGAGTTGTGATCAGGGCAAGAAGCAGTGGAGTTTTAGCTCTGCCCCGGCACCTCTGGGTGCTGCCCGCACGTTTCCCCATTTGCAGTCTTTGGTTTTCTCGCTTTGTCCTTTTGAACCCCTTTTACCAGTAATGTGAAAGAATAGCACTGGCCCAGTGTGGTCTGCAAGTCTGTGCTGCCTTGGTGAAAGGTGTGAAGTGTGAATATTGGTTTTGGGTGAGAATCGGGCTGCTTGGCGCGTCTGCCTTGGTGCGTCTCACGCACAGGGACCTGTGCTCCACAGCGGCTGCAAGCGAAGCGAGGTGTTGCTGTGCTGTACGTGCACAGCTCCCAAACACATCCCTCCTCAGCTATTGCCAGGCCACGTGCCACTTGGACAGCGTCGAGAAGCGCCGGTTCTCTTCACTTCGCTTGTCAGAGAAGTGCTTTGCTGATGGGGCAGGTGACAAAAATGCCTTCTTTCCTGACAGCGTCACTTTGAGATTTACAGCTTGGCTGGGAGTTGTGCTGAGCTCAAACTGTGTTCACATTTCCGGTGAACGTGCTGGCGTAAAAGCTTGGTGAAATGACACTGGGGCGAAGGTATGTGTGTGGTGGCCTCTCAAAGCCAGCTCTTTATTTTTTTGTAAACATGTGTGGAGTTTTCCATCCTCAGACTGCAGCAGGTGTGGAATCAGGCAGGTCCCCATGAGGCGTGCTCTGGATTGAATGTGTGGGTCCCCAGGTCTCCAACCACACTTCCCCCGGTTGGACAAAGCCCTGAGCTGAGCCCCGTTGAGAACAGCGCTTTTCTTCTTGGAATTCAGCCCTGATGGCAACAAATCACTGGAGAGCAAGAAGGGCTGTTGAAGATTGTGCAGTGGGGTGTAGCTAGAAAGTGGCTGGGAGGCTTTACAAATAGCGCAGCGAGTTTCCTGTGGATCCGGGGGAAGACTCTGCACTGCCACGAGCCCAGAGCCGCAAGGACAGAGGGCCTGCAGCCCCAGTTAGCTGTGGTCACAGCACAGCTGGAAATGTTGCAGCCCCTCAGCATCCCAGCTCCAGAGCCCTGAAACGCAGTTCGTGTTGGTATCAGTGTCTCACTCTTCTAAAACAAACAGGAGAACCTAAATCTGAGCATGAGCACAGTGCTCTGAAGAGCAGATCTCCTGGCTGGGGGACAGCCGTCTGTATGACGTATAGCACAACAGCTGGCGCGGCAGAGTTCTGGGTACCTGGGGCACTGGCCTGCAGCTCCTGGCCAGGCGCGAGTCGGAGAGTGCTCCTCTTCCCTCGGGCCCAGGAGCGGCTGTGTGCGCTGGCAGGGCCGCGCTGGCAGCCTCGGTGCTCTGCGAGAGAGTGGCGTGTGCCTGTTCCTGATGCTTTAAGCCAAAGAGAAGTTGCGGTCCTGTGTGAAGAAAGCATTAATATTTGAGTGCGTTTCAAGATTCTCAGGTGGGCCCTCGTAGACAAGGAGGCAATAATTTCTTTACAGTTGGCCGTCATGTTCAGCTCCTCAGGAGCTTGATTTGGAGCAAGACAGTGGCTGTCTGCTGCTTAGGGCTCTCTAACAAGCTCTCATGCAGTGCAGAATTTTCTTGCTTTCTAACCACAGTATTTGGTGCAGTGTGAGAAGTCTGAACGCTTTCCTTCTTGTCTCTGCAGCTGCTGAAGAATCTGAAGAGGCTGTCTGAGCTGCCCATCACAGTTGACATTCTCGTGGTAAGAGCTGTGAAGTCTCTCACCCTTCCGTCGTGTCTGGCAAGGCCCGGGATAACTGTTTGCCCCAGCAATGCTGCTTTCCCTGGAGTGGGGTTTGTTGCCTCAGCCACCGGCTACATCCGTTGTCATTGGCACGGTTGTGATGAGGTTCTAGAGATTCCAGGCACGGGGAAGGAGCGTGTCAGAGCAAGTGTGAAGCCGTGGAGGACAGCTGGTTGTCCTCAGCTCTCCCAAAAGCTGAACACTTGACTGGGATACAAGAGTTGGAGCGGTTCCTAGCGATAACTGAACCAGCAGGGAATTGGGAAGTGCTAAGCCTGAAAATTATTAGTGACCTCTGCCTTCAGACTTACCAACAGTCATGGTAAATACTAACTTGGTTTATTAACAGAAATAATTGGTGTTTGACTAAGGTAGAGCTAAATCTTCTGTGATTTACAGAACTGTAGTAAGTGATACAATGGCCGCTGGCAACATATTATATGTGATATCTTTGCCGTTAGATCGAGGCAGTTTGTTTCTGGCTAGCAGCAATAGGTAGCAGGTTAACTTGTTTCAGGTTGTAGGAAGTTTAGGAGAGGCGAGAATGCGGATTGCTGTGTTAAGATGAAATCCTGTCTTGGCTTTCTCGTGAAGGAGACGGGCGTTGGGAAGACTGTGAACAGTTTACGGAAGCACGAGCTTGTAGGAGACTTTGCGAAGAATCTCGTAGCCAGGTGGAAGAAGCTAGTGCCGGTGTCCCAAGAGGCAGACCGGTGAGTGAACCCCTTCGGTTATCTGATGGGTAAGCTTTGTTATATTTGGCAGGAGAGATTATAAACTTCTCTGAGCAAGGCAACAAAGTGAAGGCCCTGGAAAAACTTGTAACACAAGTGTGCGAACTCTGCATGGGGTTTGTGCCTTGTTTTGACATAAACCTCCTGCCTCCGCTAGCCGTGGAGCGTTGGGTTGCTGACGGCTGCAGTTTTGCAGGCGAGTAGGGACCGATTTTCAAGAATTTGCAGTTTGATGAAGAGATTAACAGTAGAGGCCAGAAAAGTGCCTTTAATAAAGCCAGAGGTGCTATCTGCTTGCTTCCCATTTTGTGACGCTAAAGAGAGGAAGTTCTAGACCCAAGTAAAGGAAGTGGCTTGCTTTGAAAGAAGGCTTTAATGTGCAAAAATCCTATGGAAACTGAAAGTTAATGCTGGCAAGTATGTTGCAGTAACAAAGCTGTGTTGAACCCAGCAATGAGATTGCTTAGATGGGGGTGATAAAGACCCAGCTACTCAGTATAATTTCAGTGGCTGTGGTATCCCTGCATGCCAAACTGGCGAACTGGGGGACGTTTTCCAGAGGTACCCCACAGCCACGAGTGCTTAGGTGTGGACAAGTCTCTGAATGCATCTGTCTCCGCTTCCCAGTGAAGTGAGAGGTCTCCAGTCCTAATAAAGATGCTTAACCAATCCTTGCACTAGAAATCCAGTTTCTAAATCCCTGAGTGTTGCTGTGCCTAAGAGAATGAGTGGTCTTCTTGTCACAGAACTACCAAATACAGCCTTAGTCTTCTGTGAAAGAGGTTCCTGTCCCCGTGGTTCATGGGGAATGGCTCTGTTCATTCATACTGAGAGGTTTTAATCTACCTATTTTGGGTTTTTTTATCCCTTCAGAAATAACCTAGATTCTGAGGACCGTGACTATGAGAGGAGCAGCTCAAGCAAAAGACGTCAAGAATCCTCCCTCAGAGAGGATGAGGAACCTGACCAGGAGTGTTCAGAACCCTTCCAGGGGTCTTGCAGCCAGTCCTATAGCCCAGATGATAGGGAAAAGAAGTCCAAAAGGTATCCTAGGCCTGAGAGAGCTCACGAGACTTATGGCTATAGCAGCCACGAGGGGAAGGGTTGGGGCAGATCTTCCCCAGTGCTCTCTTCAGATCAGGAGTACTCGGACTATGGACAAGCTGTGTCACCTGAGCCAAGTGAGAGCCCGCAGGATATGTATGCAGACCCTTATGCCTCTGAGGAGCAGGAAGAACCGACCGTATTTCATCGGAAAGCCAGTAAAGGTCACAGCTTTCAGGAGAAGCTGGGGGGAGGCCGGGAGAGGAACCCTGGTGAGTCCTATGACAAAGGGAATGTGAGTCGAAACAAAGAGCACAAGTCTTCTCACAAGAAGCAGCGACTTGATGGCAGAGGGGAGGACAAGACCTCTGCCTTCAGCCCAGAAAGATCACACAAGACCTCTTTTAAAGAGCAACTGCGAGAAGCCCCCATGGCAGGGGGCAGCAAGGAGAAGCAGAGGATGTCAGACGGCACCAAGAAGGAGAAAAACCGAGAAAGCGGCACCTCCAGAAAGGAGAAGCTGCACGTGTTGCCGCCCTTGGAAGAGTCTTTGGACAACCACGTTAAGAAGCAAAAACATCGGGACTCTGAAAAAAGCAAACTGGAAAAGCCCAAGCTGAGCCTGGAGCCCTCTAACACAGAGCGGGAGAAACGGAAAGCTGAGAGTGACTCGTCAAATAGGGTTAAAGAAAAGGGAATTTCTGGGAGCTTAAAATCTTCAGAGGGGAAGCGCAAAGTCTCTGATGTGGACAAAAAATCAATGGGCTTTTCCTCAAATTTTGGGGAGGGAGAAGCGGAGGATGAATTTGAACAACCTACAATGTCCTTCGAGTCGTACCTCAGCTACGACCAGCCCCAGAAAAAGAAAAAGAAAGCAGTCAAACCCTCTGTGTCAGCTGGGGACAAAGACCAAGGGCACGGCAAACAGAACGGATCCAAAGCCAGTGCCAACAGCTCAGGCTCGAGTCAAAAAAGCCCAAGCCACAAGCGAACAAGTGAGAAAAAGGCAGACAAGAAACTCCCAGAGTCTCCTAAACCAAAGCGGGTAAGGGTTGGAGCGCTCTGAAAGCGAACCAAGCAGGTGGGATCGGCTGCTCTCGGTCCTCTGCCCTCTGGGCTTCCTGGTTCTGCCCTTGGAGGTGCTGGGCTGTGTTGTGCCTCTGGGTGGGCTTGCGGTGTCTCGCTGGTGTCCAGCTCCATGACTCCTGGTTCCTGCTGGGAGACAGCGTGCGTTGCCCGTGCTCTGTGCCGCAGGCGTTGCTGTGTGCTGTTCGAGTGGAGCTGCTGGAGCAGCGGGTGGTGAGGGAGGGGAGAAAAGAAATGCAATGGGCAAAAAGCCCTGTTCATTGGAAAATGGGGAGAGTAAAAGAAAACACCTCCAGCTAAATACTCATGTGAAAGCATGTCAGACATGACACATTGCACAAATGGGAGAACTGGTGCTACAATGAGGCTGACTCTAGAAGACAGACCTTCTTTTGTTTTAACATTCTGTTAATAAACCAGTATTTCTGTACACATTCATTGCCACCTGGGTGCCAGGGCTCTGTATATAAATAGGGACTAATGTGTAAAACCTCTACTGCTTAATGGTTTTACCCACCTTTGAAACACTTTGCTCTTCAAAATCTGTTCGTACAATCTTAGCAGCCTTTTAAAATCCTGCTTTGCCATTCATTCTTAGAAGTGCCTTGTACCAAAGTTTTAGGTATCCCTCAGTTTGTGAGGTTCCTGTCTCTGCTACTGCAGAGTTTTATGCAGGGAGGAGGAGAAGAAACAGAACGGATGAATGAGTGTTAGCAATCAAGGACATGTTTCTGCCAGCTTTGTTGTCTTTTCTTTCTCTAATTCTTTGCATTGTTCATCTGACTTGGGGTCTTCCCAGAGGCCTTTCGCACTGCTGGCTTACTTGCATATACTTATTATTTTTGGCTTGCTTGAATGTACGTCCTCTGCTTCCAGATACTTTTAGATGTGGTACCAACATTACCGGACATCCCACTGCCCCCAATCCAGGCCAATTACCGCCCTCTTCCTTCAGTCGAGTCCATCGCCTGCTCCCAGACAAAAAGGAAAGGTACGTTGGGCAGGAAAATCGGTGTGAATCGGGCTGCAGCCACTGTGGGAGGGAGTGGGAGCGGGTGCTGGCTGGGTTCAGGCCTTTCTGTTGGGTCTGTTCTGCCTCTGGTGCTCGGAGCCTGGGTTTCAGAACAAGGTAGCTGCTTTCCCCCGAGCTGCAGCAGAAGGGAGGACGATTCCTTGCTGACCCTGCTTGAGGCTTGGGCTTTGGACTTGCCCTTCCTGAGGCGGGTTGCAGGTCTCCTGGAGAAGACTTGGGCCTCTAGGTTGGCTCTGGGGGCCTCGGATGTGTATCCTGTGGCACTCCCAGGGTGGGCTCTTCTTTTCCCTGTTCCCTTCTGACTCCAGGGCTTTCTCTTTACAGCAGTGTCTTCGCCAGCTGAAGAGAGCGAAGCAGGTTTTACAGGCCGCAGGTTGAATTCAAAGATGCAAGTCTATTCAGGCTCTAAAACTGCCTACCTCCCAAAGATGATGTCTCTGTACCAGCAATGCATCAGAGTCCTCAGTAACAACATTGACTGTAAGTGCCTCTCCTCCTCTGTCTGCAAGTCACACTGTCACGCAGATACAGGGACGTCTTGGTGACTTGTTTCTCTGTTTCCCATCAGCATCTGGCTTGGAGCAGGTGAACTGTCAGCCCTTGTCAAAGGACAAGCTCCCTAATAGGGGAGGGATCTCACGGAAAGCTCAGGCCCTGCTTAACTTGCAGATATTGGTGCCTGATGACCCCTTGAGCTCTTGCACCCGCAGTTCCTTTCTCCTTGCCCTCGTCTTGCGCAGTGGCGTGCAGCACTGCTGGTTTTTTCCCACTGCATTTCAGGGTATCCAGCCCTTTCCTTGGCGAGGAAGGAGCAGGATAAATACTCTGTGCACCTTGCTTCTCTCTAGCGATCTATGAAGTGGGTGGTGTCCCCTTCTCTGTGCTGGAGCCAGTGTTGGAGAAATGCACCCCGGAGCAGCTGTATCGCATTGAGGAATGCAATCATGTGAGTGCCTGGGCCTGGGCAAGGGAGGGTGACACTGGACTGACGTTCTGTCCTCATCTGCAATAGCAGAGTGGTGAAGAACAAGGCTCTTTACAGCAAGAGGTGGTTTTTGCCAGTCCCGAGTTCCTGGCTTTGCCGTCTGCCCGTCTCTTGCTGCGAGCTGGCCCCTGAGTTGTCTTGCCCTCTGTGCTGTCCCAGTGGCACTGGCCCTGGCTGGTGCTGAGGGAGAGGGGAGTGAAGGTGTCAGGAGGGATCCCAGCTTCCGTGGGGGTTTGTTTCAGGTCTTAATTGAGGATACAGATCAACTCTGGCACAATCACTGTCTGCGTGACTTCAAGACTGAGAAGCCAGAAGAGTTTGAGTCCTGGCGGGAGATGTACCTGCGACTCCACGAGGCACGAGAGCAGCGGCTGCTCATGTTGGCACGGAACATCAGCTCGGCCAACAAACCCAAAGGTAAAGTAGGGCTGCAGGATCAGAGAGGGGCCTGGGAATGCAGCCTAGGGAACGTCTTTGTGTGGGGAAGGTCTTTTGGAGTGACTGGCTGAAATCTAGTCCCATTTCGGAGTGGCTCACCTCTCTTCTTCGTGGTGGCCATCAGTCTGATTTCTCAAAACCTGTATTGTGACCACAAGAGGTTCAGACCTCAGGGACGAGGCTGTCACGCAAGCTTTGGAACAGGTGCCCCGGGGAGAGTTGGTTGGCGCTGGCTGCGAGAAGCCCAGCGCTGAGGAGCCTCCGTTATCATAAGCTGGATCTAAGCAGTGTTTCCCTCTGGCCTCCTAACAGGCAGAGTGGCCAAAATGGCCTTTGTGAACTCAGCACCAAAGCCCCCTCGGGATGTGCGCAGGAGACAGGAGAAGTTTGGAACGGGAGGACCTCTGCTGCCAGAGAAGACCAAGTGAGTGTTTCTCAGTAGCTCTTGGTGCTCAGGGCCTCTTCTGGCGTGGGCTCCTGCCAGCTTTCCCCCGAAGCTCTGCGTCCTGGCAAGAAAGGACGCTGTGTGCCTGGGAGGTCCCTTTGCAGTGAAACTCCCACCTGGCATGGCCTCTGTCTTGCTGGGAAGCGTGGAGCTCCTGCTGGCTGCTGGTTCCCTGTGGGACGAGCCCCGCTGCTGTTAACAAACGGGGCTGGTGTCTCGAGAATCGCACCAGAGCTCAGCGACTCCTTTGCTGAGCTGCCCGTCCCATCTCTGTTTCAGGATAAAACCAGTCCTGTACGCACCGAGCAAAAGCCAGGCTCGTGTGAGTGAGGAGCAGTGCTGTGATGGGCCCAGCACCAGCAGTGCCCGTCCTGTGCCAGTTTCATGGGGCACCTTCTCCTCCTGTGGCCCCAGGAAACCACCAGTGAAGAGTAAGTACAAACCGCAGAGCATCCCTGAGGTCTGCTAGGGCTCCTCCTTCACAGACACGTGAATCTGCTGCTTCTGCTGCAAGAGAAACCCAGCCCGGGCAGGAGGGGTGATGTTGCTGGCCTCTCCCCTCTCCTCTCCTGCCTTTCCCCTCCCGCTGTCTTGCTCCGTCTGTCCAAGTGTTTGCCAGAATGCGATGGCAGCGCAGCTCCTGTGGGGAGGCAGCAGGGAGAGTTTGGGCAGAGCTCTGTGTTCTTGCAGTGCAGAAAGCAGAGCGGGCTCTCCTCGCTCTGTGACCTGAAAGTCCGACCGGCCGTGATCAGAGAGCGCACGCGGACGCCTGCCTTGCGTCTGCTTTGCCGGGGCTGCAGCTTTGGCTTGCTCCCTGCTCTCCCAGTCTGTGACTGCTGCTTTAACGTCTGGGGAGTTCTTGGTTTCATTTGGTTTGTTCTCTTTCTCTGTTGCAGAAATTGCACCCATGATGGCAAAGTCTGTCAAAGATTTCAAAAACAGGTTCTCCCGGAGATAAGGGTGCAGAGCAGATCTGGGACTCGGCCTCTCGTGGGGAGTGGCACGGAAGGGGGAGAAGGTACCCGGCCAGCCCTTTTCTTTGAGCTCTTTGGAGGCTGCAGCTGCGGGGAGAAGCTTTGATCTGCACAAGACGACAGCACAGTATTTTGTCTTTTCTTCTGGTCCCTTGCTGAGTGTCAGGCCCCCTCTCTCTTCCCCCTGCCCTAAACATCCTGTTTCTAGCTCTGTCAACCGTCAAAAGAAGGGTGTACAGAATCCCCGGACACAAGAAAATGTGAAGTCTTGGCACCTGCTGAGAGTGGAAGATCCAGAGACTATTTACTATTTAACCTCTTAATAAATTATAAAATGGTTTTAATTCATATTCTGCCCCTCTATCCCGCTGGTGTTATTTATGTCACTCCCAGCAGTCTCCGCCCTGCCAAGTCCATACAAGGGCCTGTCTGACTCCAGCTGGCAGGGGTCCGTCTGTCTGAGTGGGCACTGGGTGTCCCGGGAGTCTTTCCTCGTGGTCTGGTGCCCGCTGGGCCCAAAGCCCCACCCGGACTCTGTGGGACAGGTCGGGCCGGTGGCCCGTCTGCTCCTCGATCCGTGGGCAAGCGCATCGAGTCCCGGGGCTTTGCTCTCTACCCGTGTGCGTTAATAAGCCCTTGGCTCTCGCCCTTGTCCCTGCTGTTGCTGCAGATCTTGTCCAGATGCTGACGTCGTCGTGCGGGGATGCCAAGAGTCGTCACGGACTTGTTCTCTGCTGCTGTTGTCTTCTGCTGGCTACTGGGAGTAAAACTGGGAGGGCTGCGGGGAGGAATGTCACTGTGCACCAAGTCAGATTTTAACTGGTTTATTTTTTTTCTTTGTGGGAGAGAGAGAGGACACACTTTGTCTGCCTCTGAATTTTAGAAGAGTTTTTCAATATCAATGAAGGCATCAGTTTGCCTCTTTTGGTGGAAAGAAGGAGTCATTTCATGTTGTTTTCTGTGTGGAATTGGGAAGGATTTCATTCCAGTTAAAGCTGGTGCTTAAATCCTGTCTTTTCCCTGTCTGTTTCCCTCTGTCCCCTCTTTGGAAAAAGCAAGGATTTTAGTCTTTGAACTTGAAAGCATTTGACTGGGCTTGGAGAGAAGCGAGTAACGGAACGTGGTTTGTTTTTAATGTGTGCGTGGTACGTAGCAGGAGTTCAGAAAGCTTGGTTGTCCGTGGCGCTTGAGGAAGTGGAGCTCTGGAAGGACAGGGTGTGCGCTGTGACCCAGCGGACCCCGGCCCTGGGCTTGGTGGGGCTGTGAGGAGGTGTCCCCGAGCGCAGCTCCTCGGGGGGTCGGGAGCCCGTGCTGCGCGGGGTGTGGGATGTCGGGGGACTCGCTGAGGCCGCGGCAGCCAGCGGGGAGCTGCACACAGCCGGGCACTGGCTGTTACCTTTGAAGCCTTATCGCGGTGATCGTTTCTGCCGGTGGGCGATGTCTGCCTCGAGAGCAACCTTTCCCCGAGCGGGGCAAGCGGAGGCTGGGGCTGCTTCGAGCCCGTCGTGGGGCGAGGGAGACGGCCTCTCCGTCAGCGCTCAGAGGTCCGGCCGGATCGCCGAGGGGAGAGATTCTCCTGTTCCAAGCCATATTTGCTGCCCTAGGGCTTTGCTGTCTAGGTGGAAAAGGTGCTGGTAGTGGTCGCTGTTGTTGGCAGCAGCTTTGGAGAAGCTCCAAATCCCAAAGCGGTGGAGCTGGCTGTGCGCTCCGACCGGGGGAGACCTGGCTGTGAAGAGCCTTCCCCGGAGGGCTCTAGAAAAATCCCGGTGTGCTTCGGGTTTCTGTTGGTTTGCTTCTTTCCTTTCTTTCTCCCTTTTGCTTGCTTTCGTTCTCACCCTTCGCAACACCCGTCTCTGGTTGATTTGGTCCGTTCTTTTCTTATTTTGAAGGTCTTGGAAAAACGTTCTCAGACTGTCACGTGCTGTAAGTTTGTTACAGTCCCAGATGCTTTAATGTTTCCGTGCAGCATTTCAATGTGTGTTGTGCTGTAAAATAACGGCTCCTTACTCTTGCGTTTCTGCTGTATTTAATTTTGTTGTATTTTTAATTAGATAACAATATATTATCTTCTGCTGCCCGTTGTGCTACCATTCATTTCTCCTCTGTACTTGGGGTCGGGGCAGAGGGGGGGGAAGGGCAGCCTGGCCTTGTGTTCAGGCCCCCGTGGAGCTTTCTCTCAGGCCTGACCCTGATCCTTTGCTCAATCTCGGGCACTGCGAAAGTGCCGCTGAATTGGGAGTACAGCTCCGCTGCGGTATTGCCCAAAGCATCGCTGCCGCGGGGCGATGCACCTTCCCTCGCCGAGCAGCCTCTTTGCTCGAGGTGTGTAACTGTGTCGGCGTTGGGGCGTAGCTGGGCTGCAGGGGGGAGGTTATGGAGGGGACGGGACGCGACGGCGGTGTCAGAAGTGGCTGCGCTCTGTGCTGAGCGATGCCAACCGCTCTCCCTCCCCTCCCCATCCTTTGGCTCGGGCACTAGAACGGCGCAGACGGAGGAGGTGGGCACCAGGCAGGAGGGTTCATGCCCTGAGCCACAGCCGAAGCCACGTCCGGGGTGAAGGCGCTTGCTCGCGGTGCCCAGGCTGTTGCAGTTGTGCCATTCGTGGTCGGTGAAGTGGATTGAGAACTGGCTGAATGGCAGAACTCAGAGCGTTGTCATCAGCGGCGCTGAGTCTAGTTGGAGGCTGGTAACTAGTGGTGTCCCTCAGGGGTCAGTACTGGACCCAGCCTTGTTTAACTTCTTCATCAATGACCTGGATGAAGAGTTAGAATGTACCATCAGCAAGTTTGCTGATGACACCAAACTGGGAGGTGTGGTAGACACACCGGAAGGCTGTGCTGCCATTCAGCGT